GCGGGAGAGACAGACAGAAGGAAGGGGCCGGCTTGCTGGTTCCCGCGGCTGGGCTGTGAGTGGGGTTGCGGCTGAGGATATGGGGTACTCTGCCCAGCCCTGAGTTCACATACCTGGGCCGAGCTCCAGCCAGAGGAGGCCCTTCCAGCTCCCCCTGTCGGTGTTGTGTGTGTGTTTCTGTACCTGTGAGTGTTCTATCTGCAGCACGTGCTGGGTCTGGCCAAGGCAGGACAGCAAGGAGAGGTGGGGTTGCTGTGTCCAGGGGCTGGAGAAGGAAGGAGAGGCTGGTCTGGGGGATGGAGGGGCTGGGGGCACATCGACCTCGTGGCTAGGAAGGGCTGGACACAGCTGTGCCAGGCGTTGTCCTGTGGCGCTGCCCACACACCCACCACTAAATCTCACAGCAGAGGCCTGCAGGTGTCACTGTCCCATTGTACCCTGGGGCACAAGCACCCCCCACCCCAGGTCCACAGCCTGCACCAGGCACCATTGTGCCTCCCCGGGAAGTCCTCTTGTCGGGCGTCAGCTCAGGGACCTTCAGCACTTCTCTGGGGTGTGGGTATCACAACCTCATTCTCTGAAGGCAGACACAGAGGGCGAGGGTGGCCCAGTGCTTCGTCCGGGGTCACAGGGCCAGCCCCAGCCCAGGCCATAGGGGACACGCTGCACATCTCTTGGGTGGACATGCCCACACAGTGGAGCCCTTCTTCTGGGAACCTAGGATGAGCCAGGTCACAGCCCCAATGAGGGAAGCAGACAAGGCCGCTGGGAGGCAGAGCTTGTCACACTCTCGCATCCCCTGGGATTATATTCAAAACCCAGTGTGGCCTGATGTGCGTCTGAGGAGGCAGCACCCAAAACCTCGGTCACCATGGCAATGCCGCAGCTGCTCCCCCAGGGGCTGGGTGCCGGCGCTATTTTAGCCACATGAAGATGGACAAGGTCGTGGTCAACTCAAAGTATCACAGGGAGACACAGTGGCAGAGCCCCCATCTGTCCTCACGTGGGGAGCTGAGCTCGCCAGGGCGAGGCGGCTTCCCACGCCCAGCCATACGTGTGGGTGCCACCACCTCGCCCAGCCCCCCCTCCCGTTTCCTTTGCCTTCTGCTTAAAGATTAAGAGGGTAGCCCTGACCCCGGCATTGCTTGTCATCTGCACCAAGGGTCAGGCTTCCAGGCCTTGGGACAAGGACAGTGGAGGCTTTGCCCTATGGCCCTGTCCTGGGCAGGGCGTGGAGAAGGCCTCACTCACACCGCCCTCAGGAGGTGCGGCTGGGATTGCCTTCTAGAAAGCAAAGTGACAAAAAGCACCCAGAGCATTCAAGGTATTCACTCCATGTGGTCTCACTCTTCCACTTCCAGGACTCCGTTTCAAGGGAAGAACTGGAAAAGCAGGCAGCTGTGCCTTCCACACGTCTGCCACCTTAGTTGCAGGGTAGAAGGTAGGAGGCGACCGTGGCTGGCTGCACACTAGAGGCAAAGTCCACCTCAGGCGCCGTGTGACCTTTGAGATCGAACATTGCACACGCACACTCACACAGGCACACCTGTGCACGCGTACACACGTGGCACACTCAGCTGTCACTCACTCGGGTCAGGCTCTGCCAGGACAGGCAGGACCCCTGCCAGGTGGCCCTAACAAATCAGCAGATGGACAGCAGGGCCCTGCCCTGCAGGAGGCTCTAGACCCCAAGGCCTCACAGGCCCAGCTGTGTCCAATCTTTCTATCTCAGGAAAGCGCCCCAGCTGCCCCCGGGGCAGGGAAGGAGATCCCCTGGGACCTCGCTCGTCACCCAAGGTCAGCAGCCTCCTGTAGGCAGAGCCCAGGCTGCCTCCCACAAGGGACAGCTAGCCACATCCAGAGGCAGCACTGGGCCCTCTCTGACCCCCAGGCTCCCTTCCCCAGGCAGGGCAGCTGAAGCTGATAAACTGCTTTCAGGGTGGGCCCCCATTTAACCTCCACACTCCCACCTGGGGAAGGGGGGCACTGCAGCTCTGACAGACCTGGCACCTCCCAGGGATCCACAGCAGGTATCCAGGCGCCTGGGAAGTGTTCCTTGCAGCTGCTGTGACAGCCACCACTATGAGAAGCCGGTGGCGTCCTGAGAGGATGATGTGAGCACTGCGAGGCGACTGCCGGCTGCTGAGACACCAGCGTCACAGCCCCTGTGCAGCACTTGCCATGCAGCAGCCGCCACCAGTGTCACACGTGGCGCGTGGCATCGCGAGGGTGTCCACTCAGCTTGTAGGCAGGCAGACGGGGGAGGCGAGCTGGTGATAAATGCCCCAGCCCTTCATTCTTCAAAGGATAATTCAGGGGTGCATTCCACGTGCTCTGCAGGGGTCCCCAGTGAGATTGAGACCTGGGAGCCCCAGCCAGCAAAGCACCTGTGGGTTTTTCCTGCTTCGTCTGTTCTCCCTGCACCTGTGCTCCTGCTTCTGGCATATCGCCCCCTGGCCTGGGGTGAACAGTGTCCCCCAAAACTCATGTTCATGCAGAACCTCAGAACAGGACTTTATTTGGAAGCAGTCTGGACCTTTGCTGCTGTAATTGGTTAAGATGAGGTCGTGCTGGATTAGGGGCCCTGAACCAAATGACTGATACCTGGATAAGAAGAGGGGAGGACACAGAGAACATGGCAAGGGACAGACACTGGGTGATGTTTCTACAGCCAAGGAACGCCGGCAGCACCCGGAGCCGGCAGAGGCCTGGGGCCAGCTCCCTCAGAGGGAACAACCCTGCCCGCCCTTGGGTCTTGAACTTCTGGCCTCCAGAACTGGGAGAGAAGAGATTTCTGTTTCTTAAGCCCCCCAGCCTGGGATGCTTTGTTACCGCAGCCCCAGGACACTAAACCCCTCCCCAGATAAAGTCCCTGCACCCAAGTCCTTGTCTCAGGCTCTGCTTTTGAGGAAACCCAACTGGTGCCCCCAGGTGTGGGCGTTTGCTTCACTCCAAGAGAAGGGTCAGTGCTCTCCTGCCCCCACTACAGGTGAGAGCTGGAAGCCGGGCGCTGTCGCCTGACTCCAGACCTCCAGCTTGGGGGGAAAGCTGTCCCAGCTCTCAGATAAGCATTAAGAGTCTACGCGGGGAACCCGCACTCCAGTGCCCACCAAGTAGAACAGACAAGGAAGCCACCAGCCCCCAAAGCCAGTCCCTCCTGGAATGAGGCGCGTGGGGTGCCTGCCGCCCGCCCGCTGCCTCCCGCCTCCTGCCCTCCTGCCGGCCCAGGTGCCCCGTTACAGGAAATGCTGACACCCCTTCCCAGGCCAGCTCCTCTCAGCTGCAAACCTTGATCCGCCTGGCCTTCAATCTGCTCGTGTCATCACCACGAGAATAGAACTCTGTGTTTAAAAGCAGCCGCTTTTTCCTGCCCTGTAAATACTCGGCAGAAATAGCAGCCTGCCGGCAGGAGGGAGTGATTGCTGGTGGGGGAGTCAAGCACAGGCTCCTGCCCGGGTGGGCCTCGCCGCGTGGGTGCCTGAGGCAGCGCAAAGCTGGCTTTAAATAGCTCCTCGTGGGCACAAGGAGAAAGGGGGCAGCCTGCAAGCCCAGGGAAGGTGGGAGAGGGGGCGCTGGGGGCAGGGTCCTGGCAGCAGAGGGGAGATGGCCCACCGACCTCTGCCCCCAGGTGAGCCCAGCAGCCCCGTGAACTTTGAACCCACCGATGCACCCCCGAGGCCTGGGCAATGGGCTGGGTCTTAGGGCAGGAGCCTGGGTGCCCCCGGGGTGAGGGGTGGTATGGGCATTCTTGGACGCAGCCTGGTAGCTTCAGTGAGCTGCCCCATCCCCAGGGTGGAGGGGGCAGTGACCATGCCCAGGGTCATACAGAAGGGAGGGTGCAGAGGTGGGAAAAGGGAGAGAGGCCACCGCTCCCAGCAGCATTGTCCTTGTCTGTCTGTCTGTCCTGTCCGCGTAGATATCTGGGCTTGGCCAGTCACCCCTGCTGTCGGGAGGTGGCCTGGAGCCCCGGCTGTTCCTCGGCCACACTGCAGCCTGGAGGCCCTGCTCCCCGGCCTGTGTCACCCCGGCATGACCTGTAGCCTAGTCCCTTAGAGCAGGGCCCAAAGGGGCAGCAGGGTGTGAGGAGGGCTCCTTTGGCAGCAGGGGCCTTCGCACTGGGGCTGGGGCGGGACGTGGAGGTGGTGAGCCCTGGTCCAAGGTTTGGGCGGGGGACCAATGCCCTCCTGTGCCCTCAGATACAGCCTGGTCCTTTGGGAAGCAGCTGGGCCCTGTGTCCCTGGATCTCAGTGGTCACTTTACCAGCTGAGCACTGCCCATGGGTGGGTGTCCTCCAGGATCCTGCCCTATGGCCTAGGGACACTGAAGGCCCCTGGGCAGCTTGTGTCAACTGAGGGCAGATGGCCCCTCAGGGCACCCTTTCTGATTCACGCCAAGTCACCGTCATGCTCCCCTCAAGGTGGCTTGGGGAGGGGCCCCGCCGGAGGGGTCCCATGGGGCCAGCGGGGCCGTGGCCTGGCTGCCACCCTGACCACAGCAGGGTACCTTGTCCATAGGGGCCGACATTCCCAACCCCGCAGCACACAGCAGCCCTCACAGCTGCTAACTGCACACTCCTGCTTCTTCTGGGGTACTGATGGGAAAATCGGACCCCCCCATTAAGAGCCGCCTGTCAGGTCTCCAGTGGCCAAAGGTCGTGAAGCTGCAACCTTGTCACCCCACGTCCAAGGTGGCAGCAGAGGTGGCAAGGGGCTGGAGGGTGTTTGTGGGAACTTGACGGCCTCTGTTCTCATGCTACCACATCTGAAAAGGCATCATAATGGTACCCTGGCCGTGGGACCAAGAGACCAGGAGGGATGGAGACCCCCACTGATGCCCCCGACTTGGCCACCTGGCTCAGTCTCTGAGGCGCCACCCCAGGCACTCTGTCCTTGCACCTCTGTCTTCAAGTCCCTCTGTCCCGAAACCACAGAGCCCATAGCCAGAGGAGAGCTCTCCAGGTACCAGGAGAGGAGGCCATGGTCCAGCTGTTGTGACAGAGAATGTCACCATGGCCAAAGGCTTGGCTTTATTTCATGCTGGGACCAAAGGCCCACGACCACCGTCTCCACCATCTCGCCAAGGCAGTGAGCACCGTCCACACCCAGCCTCCCCACCGCTCCCTGGTCCAATCCAACAGAGCAAAGTCCAAGAACCAGGGTCGTTTTCCAAGCCGAGTGCTGAGTCCCCCAAGGGCCCTGCGCCCACCTGGCTCCACCTCGGTGTCAGGTCAGTCTGCCACTGGGAAGCAGGGGCCAGGCCAGGTGTCCAGGAGGGATGAATGGGAGGGCTTCAGGACGGTGTCCGGTGAGGGTGGGACAGAGCCCGGGGCTCAGGGCGGCCGCTGCTTCCCTCCTGTGACCCCTTGCTGTCCCCACTTTGAAACACGCAGAGCGGGCAGGTCAATCACAGGGGCCTTTGTCCCTGGAGGTTTGGGCAGCAGCACATGTGGCCTCACATGGCGTAGGCCGCCCAGTAGATGACGTTGACAGCCGCGAAGGCTGCAGGGAACACGGCACGGGCATAGATGTCGATGGTGTCTGCGTCGATGGGCTTGAAGAGCGCCCGGAGGCCTCCCTGGCCCCCCGAGCGGGCTGCCCCCTGCTTTTCTGTGTCTCCCGACTCCACCTCCACCGACCTATAGGAGCCCATGAGGTTCCCGGCCATGCGGCACGGCCGGCGGGACACGGCCAGCTCCTGGGAGACGCCAGCGGCCGAGAGGGAGAACAGGACAATGGCATTCTTCACGTCCACCTGCTCCAGGGGAGGAGGAGGCAGGACTGAGCTGGCGGTCCGGCCCAGGATGACCAGGGCCTGCCACACAGGACCCCCCACCCAGGCCAGCAGCTCCAGGCCTCAGCGAGCGCCGCCATGACCTGCAGCAGGCTGGAGCCAGGGTGTCTGAGCCCACTCCCACGGAGCCCAGGGCGTGCAAGTGACATCCCACCGCAGTCAGCAGAGGGTCCCAGGCTGGGCCCAGGAAAATGTGGCTGCCTCCTCCCTGTGCCAGGTGCATGTGTGTGTTGGGGGTGGGGCCTGTCCTTGGCTTACAGCACAAGAGAACCAGCCGGGCCCAGCCTCACCTCTGCTCTCTGCTCTGTGACCTTGACCTTGGCCTTTTGCTTCTTCCGGTAGTCGGCATTGAAGTGGGCGAAGGCGTACTCCACCAGCGCGGCGAACACAAACACATAGCAGATCCAAAAGTACACGTCCAGCGCCTTGATGGCCGACGCCCGTGGAAGGGAGGAGCGGGCGCTGACCATCAGCGTGGTCATGGTCAGCACAGTGGTGATGCCTGGTGGGAACGGCGGTGCCATCTCATTGCCCTGCCCCAGCCCAGCCTGGGTGCAGGTCGGGCTCCTCTGACCAGGCCCAGCCAGGCCGGCCACTGCCCCGGGACAGCTGGCTCGAGGGGCTGGGGGCAAGGCCTGGGCTCATGGCTGACGGGGTAGGGTCCTGCTCCCGGGTCCCCACCCTCCACCAGCTCCCTCAGAGGAAGGGCCAGGCCCATACCTAGAGACACCCTGGCGGGCACCGCTGCCTGACTAATCCAGAAGGAGACCCAGGACATGGCGACCAGGAGGACAGACGGCATGTAGGACTGGATGATGTAGACGCCCCGGTTCCTCCGGAGATGGAAGTGCAGGCTGAGCCGTGGGAACTGGCCCGCTGCAGGGGGGCCACCCTGTCAGCACCCAGCACTGTCCCTGCCCCACCGCCACGCGCCACTGCCCTCGGACCACTGCAAGCCTCAGAAGGAAGGAAGACCCTAGACCTCCACCCTCTCCACCTCCCCCAAAGGTCAGGGGTCTCCCCTGCCCTGGGCCTGGCCTTAGGGGACAGGCTGGCCATGCCACAGGGCCACCCAGAGGAAGGAGAAGAGGAAGATCCCAGTGTTGCTAGCTGGCCCAGAGGGACCCCCCCAGCTGCGGGGTTGGCCCACCTCCGTCTCTCCTGACCCTGCTCCACGCACAGCCGAGCTCAAGGGAAGAGCTGATGATCAGGCCAGGGGGTCAGAACGCAAGGCAGTCCCCAAGGTTTGACCCCTGAGTCCCTGCAGTCCTGGGGCTCAGGGAGCACCCCACACTCCTCAGGTTCCCCCCAGACCCAGAGTGCTGCGAGCCCCGGGAAGCAGCAAAGGACCAAGGAGCAAGACAAAGGACATCCGACACCACCCGCCCTCACCATAGCTCATCCCACGCCTATCAGCGTGTTCCAGCCGCTCCCCAGGGGCCCTCAGAGCCGCTAGTGGCTCAGCTAAGAGCACGGGGAAACCACGAGCCGGGCTCGCGGGAAGAGGCCACAGAGGCCACGTTACCCAGTTTGAAGTTCATCAGCTCCGTGGTGAAGCGGTAGCTGGTGATGGTGAACTGGGCCAGCTGCAGCTTGTCCAGCCCGTGGATCTGCTCCTGGTTTTCAGACCAGTAGTAGACGATGTCCTCGGATGAGTAGCCATCTGCAGGAGAACCCACAACGGGCAGCAGAGCCTGGTGTCCTTGGCCCCCAGCAGGAGCACCCTGCCCACGTGGGGACCCGAAACAGTGGCCACACCTGGCACTTCGGGAGGTGGACGGGGCCGGGATCGCCAGGAGACCCGAAGGGTCTGCCACGCTGGCCCAAAGATGCAGCTCCATGCCTTGTCTGGGCTCCAAGGCCCGGCTGGCCCTGGCAGGGCAGTGACCTGTGCGAAGTGGGCTGGGCTCTCAAGCCTTATAAATCCTCCTCTTCCTCCTGGGCACCCCGCTCTATGGACGCCCCATGCCCCCGAGCCAGGCCAGCTGCATGGGGCCCTGACAGTGTGAGTCCCCTGCCTTCCACCCCAAAGCCAGCATGGCTGGCAGAGCGGAGCCCCGTCCCAGCCTGCGTGGCACTCACAGCTCTCCAGGTGCAGCATGCACTCCTGCTCGTCCATGGGGTACTTGGCCAGGTCCATGTCACAGGCCACCGTGGAGGTGATCCTGTCAGACAACAGGCCGGTGAGGTCCCCAGGGGCGAGGCCAGCCCCCGGGAGCTGGCAGCCCCCTGACCCCACAGACAGAGATGACCAGGCGCCTCCCAGAGGGGCCCCCGCCTGGCAGCACCACCTTGCTGCCTCGTGCACGGGCTCCGAGGGCAGGGTGCTGGCTTCCGGGTAGAACCTGAAAACTTTAGAGGTGTTTGTGGGTCTTCCTTCAGGAATCAAGGACTGGGTGCCACTGTCTTTCTGCATCCTTCACAGTGCGGGACTGTGCAGCTAAGCCGGGTCTAGAAGGCAGGTCCAGCCTGAACCCCCCCCCCGCCAGCCACCGGGGACTCCCCCAGGCCATGCCACTGACCCTGCAGTATGCACGGAGGCACGGCCGCCAAGCGTTCTGGCTTCCAGGAGAATTTAGATTTCTATGTAAACTTGACTTTCAAAATGTTGGCAATTAATTCCATTTTTAAAAGGCACATGTCGGAAAACACGTGCTCAAAGACACGAACACATGTGTTCATAGCAGCACAGCTCACAATCGCCAGAAGGTGACACAGCCCAGCGTCCGCCAATGGACGAGTGGACACAGAAGCCGTGCTGGACCCCCGTGTGGAATGTCACTCAGCCAGAAACGGAACGAGATTCTGACCAGCATTGCAACGTGGATGAGCCTCAAAGGCACTATGCTCAGTGAAGGCGGACCGAGAGGTTACGGAGCATATGATTCACTTTATACAAAGTGTTGGGATGGGCAAATCCACAGGGACAGAAAGCAGGTTGGTGGCTTCTTGGGCGGGTGGGGGAGTGACTGCTTAGTGGGTGCAGGTCTCCTTTTGGGGGATGAAATGCTTTGGAACGAGATAGAGGTAATGTTTGCACAGCATTGCGAATGTGCCAAATGCCACTGACTGTTCATTTTTAAATGGTTGATTTTATGTTATGTGAATTTCACCCCAATTTAAAAAGCAAAAAGGCACCGTGCTGGCCAAAAGCTACACCTGCCAGCATCCCACAAGCCAGCAGCCTCTGTGGTCAGCAAGGTCCATGTGTAAACAGCCCCCAGGCCCCCTGGGCGGCGGTGGGGTGGGCTCACCGGATGCTGTACAGGATCACCCCGTCGGGCTGCAGCCGGATGAGCTTGTTCTCCACGGTCACGTCGTGGAACCAGGCGGACTTGGCATTCACGATGAAGGTGTCAGGGAGCCAGAGCTTGTCCACGAAGCGGCTGTCCAGGCCCAGGGTCTCGTTGGTGTGGTTGTAGGACAGCCTGCTGTCCCGCCAGCTCTGGTGCAGGAACACGGTCATGGTATACTCCTGCGGAGGGCAGGCAGGTGGAGGGGCCCTGAGTCAGCCTGCTCAGTCCCAGGCACACAAGAAGGGGGGGTGGGGGGGCAGAGGCCGGTGGCACCTACCATGTTCACCTCTGAGATGTGGTCGATGCTGGCCACCTCGATGGCGAGTGCGACGTTCACAGGGGGACCTGCGGGGGGCGGGGGGGGCAGGGCTGAGGCTGGGAGGCGGATGGGGAGCACCAGGGGTTTGCAGGGAGGGCCGGCTCAGTGCAAGTCTGCATGAGGTCTCAGAGGACATGGCCCCAGCTGCATCCCTGGGGGCCAGCGCTCGAGGCCAGGTCACCCCTCAGGGGAACCTGCCCAGAGTCTGGGTACTCACATCCACAGCTGGGCCCAGGGCCCCGGCTGATGGCCACACTCACCTCCGATTCCCGGCCGGAAGTTGCGGGCGTAGCCCTCCATCAGGCCGTCCAGGTTGGGGAGCCAGGATATCTCCAGGTTGGAGCCCACGTAGTCCCCAATGTCAGTCATCGCTCTGGAAGGGCAAAGCCCACTGGTCTCAGGCCGGGTGCCAGGGATGGAGCCTGGGTCCCCTCCTGGGGATGGCGCTCTGTCCTGGGCACTTAGGCCGGGAGGGACAGGGCTGATCACTGAAAAGGCCCCTCCAGGCCAGGACTCACAGGGCACAGGGAGCCTAGGCGGGGCCCCTCGTCTCTTCCACCAGCCTCTGCTCGGTTTCCGGGCCATCCACATGGCCTGGGGGTGGCTGCCCAGGTCAGGCGGAGCCCCAGTCTCTCTCCACAACCAGCCCAGAGACAGCCAGCCCCCCGGAGTCCCCACACTGAGGGCCCTCAGAGGATAGGCCTCAGAGGATGCCGACACGGGCACACGGCCTCCCTCTCAGCCTCTGAGGAGGAGTGTCCCGCAGCAGGTGACATGGAAGAAAAGATGTGTGACCAGGAGGCTGAAGGCCGAGGAGAAGGAGAGGCCAGGTAAGGTCCCAAACCTGACCCAGAGGCAGCCCGCAGGCCCACGGAAGGCTGCAGCCAGCCTCCTGCTCTGTCCACTCCCAGGCAGGCCCAGGCCTGGCCCCATATGTCCCCCAATGGCCATGTGTTTCTGGGGCTTAGGCTGACCCCAGAGAAGCTGGGCACTGTGCCTGCTGGCCACAGGACAGACCCACTGACAGCCTGGCAGGGCCAGGGGGTGTCCGCACGTGGCAGGCACCTCGTGGCCCACACACCCAGGACTGCCAGGAGCACTAAGCTCCCCAGCAACTCCACCTGGCCACCCCTCCTTCTGCTCACCTGGTCTGGGGTGAACAGCATCCCCCAAAACTCATGTCCACCCAGAACCTCAGAATGGGACTTTATTTGGAGATAGGATATTCGCTGCTGTAATTAGTTAAGATGAGGTCAGGCTGGATTAGGGGGCCCTAAATCCAACAACTGGGGTCCTTCTAAGGAGAGAAAACAGACGCATGGGGAGAAGGCCCTGTGACGATGGGGCAGAGGCTGAACTCAAGGCGGGCTGGGCGTGGGGGCCGGTGCACCAAAGCTGGGGGAGGCAGCACTGGGTTCTCCCTCACCGCCTCAGAAGGACCGACCCGCCCACACTTGATCTCGGACTTCCGCCTCCAGGGTTGCTGGAGAATACATTGCTGGTGTTTTAAGGCCCCCAGTGTGTGGTCACTTGTTACAGCAGCCACGGGAAACCCGCACACCCCCCTCCGGGACCCCCGCAGTGGACCGCCACCCCTCCTGAATTCAAGCCTGGAATGGGGGCACCCAGGAACAACCGTCTTGTCATTCTCTCAGTCACAGATCCTGACAAGGTCACCTTGGGCCCCAAGCCTGGCCTGAGCCAGGGTCTGGGTCATGGGTCCCTCCGCCTGGAGACAGACGCGCTGAAGGTAGCCATGGCCACATGCCCAGGTGCCCCACTCTGGGCCCTTCCGGCCGCAGGAGAAGACCACCAATTCTTCTCGGCCCCCACTGTGCTGCTGGCTGGCCACTCCTCCCGTCCCAACAGTGGGAGCCACACCCCAGCCTCCCATTGGCCTCCTGCCCCCTCAGGGACTGTCTCTGTCAACTGCAGGCACCCTCTCCGGCCATCAGTGCAGCCAAGCTCAGGCCCCGCGTCCAGCCTGTGTCCAGCCCCTTCCCCAGAGCCCCACATGGGCCCACTGGCCCACTGCTGCCCACACCCATCTCTCCAGCTCCGGCCAGCTCCGGGCCCAGCCAAGGCTTCATCCCAGCCTCTGTGCCCACCTATCCCCCTTCCAGCCACCCCCACTGTCTCATTAAGGGGCCACAAGTACACCAGGACTCTGGGCCAGGAGCTGCGTGACGGGGCCATTTCAAAACCATGGTGCTGGTAGAATGACGTGCATGGGGGAGTGACCGAGAAGGGGTGAGCTGGGCTGGACAGTGCGGTGCCGGGAGCGGGGAGGGGGAGACACACCTGAGAAGGGAAGGGGCCTGGCCCAGACTGGGTGCCATGAGGGGCCTTGGGTTTCTGGCTTAAACACTGGAGCAGTGGTGGGTGGGGGCTGCTCTGCTGCTGACTGCTGCCCAGCCTCCAGGTGCAGCCTGACGTGGAAACCTGACCCTCACACTGTACTCTCAGGGGCTTCAGGAGCCCTCAGGGCTGCCGGCGTTAGGGAGCTCCCCCAGCCCCGTCCGTTTCATACGTGGCCTTTTGAAGAAGGTTGCCTTTAAACCAGAAGTTCCTTAGCTAATGAAACTTGCAGACTCCCAATCTATCCCACAGGACCCTCTTGTTCCTCCCAGGCCATGGCCTGGTCCAGGGTAGGGAGGGCGGGCACTTTATAACAAAGTATAAGAAGGAATTAAATAAAATCTTGGCCCCCAATAAAGCACAATTAGAAATGCAAATGGAGGTCACCCTGAAGGTCAGGTGTAAAGAGATTAGAAATAGGCTTTATTTTTGGACTGGCCCAGCTGTCATCCTGCTGCAGTGGCAGCGTGGGACGAGGTTGTCAGGAGACACCGTCCTCCTGGGCGGCAGAGTGGGGCACAGGCAGGTACCCTCCCCGCCCCGACCCAGGTCCCAGGCCCACTGGGGGCAGAAGGGCAAAGCCCAGGACAAGCCCCCCACCGTGAAGCTTGCCTGGAAGTGGCAAGTTGCCAGTAGATTTCTTAGCCTCTGCCACCTCCGGGGGTGAGAAGGGGACAAGCTGCCCCTGATGTCCCTTGTCACCTAGGACAGGGCCCGTGTCATCCAGTGAGAAGAGAAGTGGAAGACCAGAGCACCAAGGAGCACACGCTCTGTGGCAGTTGGGGTTCCAGGCCAGAGTTCAGGGTTGGGCTCCCAGGCGGGGAGCTCAGCAGGAAATGAGGGTGTGGTGACTCTGACCAGCACCTGGGGACAGAGTTCCTGACTCATCTACCAGCCTGGGACCCAGCGGTGGCCTGGGGTTGAGGCTTCCTTTGGGGACCCACGCCAGGCTCAAACTGCTGGGGTAGAGCAGCCACCACGGCCCACAGGCAGCTTGGGCCCTGCTGCTCTGGGGTCAGCGGGCCTCCCTCCCTCTCTGGGCTCCACCCAGGAACAACCCCACCCGACACCTGTCTGTGCCCCTAAAGACAGAAAGGAAAGGTGGGAGGCTGAGCACGGCAGCAGGGTGCTCCTCCCGCCAAGGACCCCTCCACCGCACACAAGCCCACGGATCCCTGACGGCTGCATTTAGAGCAACACCAGCCCCGCTGGCACCTCAGTTACCAAGGCAAAGAGAAACACCGTGACGAGTGCTCGGTGAGCTGGCGTGCAGGCACAGCTTCTCCAGGGAGACGGAGGTGCCAGCAGCCAGGGAGGGCCACCCACTCAGCATGCAGCTGGTGAGCTCGGTGCCCACTGCGTGAGTGGGTCTTCAGGCTCAGGAAGGCATGGCCTTGACCTGACCACCAACACTGCCCCAACAATCCTCATCCCTCCGAGCCCGTCCCACCGGGAACAGTCCCTCCCATTCCCTCTCCTGCCACACCGCTGCAGGGGTGAGGGCCTGGACACTGAGGGGCGAAGGGTGCAGTCCTTCTGGTTTCTGGGGTGGAGTAACACAGAAGCTGATAGAAAGGAGGCCCCAAATGGACAGCACTGCACTGTCTGAAGGTCACCCACCGAGGCCACAAAGCCCAGGGCCTTGTCCCGCTGGGGCCACACACAGGCATATCCCTCACTGAAAATACCCTGGAGCCAGATGGGGGTCGGAGTTCAGAACGCTTCGGATTTTAGAAAGACGACATGGTGCACGTGCAGACTTGGGGGTGTCTGGAGAATTTCCCAGCAGGATATGTATAAATACATGCCCGGAAATAGCATGAATAAAGACAAATGAGCCTCATATCAGAGCGGGACAGGCTTTCCTGACAAGTGAGTTTTGGAGTCAAACTTGGGCTAAGACGTCGGGGTTCAGAGCAGCCTGGATTTCAGAATTGTGTGGCTGTGGCCGAGGGCCGGAGCCAGCAGCCGATCCCCTGCCTCTGGCACGTTCGTCCGCAGCGGCGCCTCAACGTTTTGCCCTTCCTGGTTCAGTGAAGCAGGGAAGGAGGAAGGAGACAGGCCGTGGGGTGTGACGAAGGGCACAGCCCCCTGAGGACCGGCCGCATCGGCACTGACCATGGTCTTGGGCACGAAGGTCACTCCACAGCCAGACCAGCCTTTCTGGCGCTGTCCCCACCCCACCCCCCAACAAGGAAACTGACCACATCCCCCACTTGCAAGTATGTGCTGCCCGCATGCTCACAGCCAATACAGCTTGTGTTCAACCACTTCCGGCCCTAACATCTCTGACCTCAGCTGGCTGCCCATGACATCTGGGACGAGGGAGACAGCGGCCTTTGCTCTGGCCTCTCTGCAGAATCTTTGCACCAAGGTGATTTTCAAAAAACACCCCCCTCACAACTCCCATGGAAGGTGGCCAGGCTCAGTGTTCAGGCGCCAGGCGAGCCGGAGCCCACTTCAAGTCCCCAGAGAGGAGAAAAGCACACCGGGACGGTCCTGGTCCCTGGAAGTCAGAGGCTGGGAGCCATGGCGGGGAGGCCTTTCTCCTCCCCCTCTTCCTTCTCTGGGACACAGGGCCTCGTCTCCTTCTGGGGGCTAGAGAGAAATCCTCCTCTTTCCAGCTGCCAGGGGCACCTGGCTCCCTCCCACCTCCGTACTCTGGAGCTCAGCGGAGGCCATTTGAAATGGCCCCTTTGAAAGGAGACCCCACCGTATCCTGGTCCGCACTCTTCATGAGCACACGGCCGAGAGGACGCGCCTTCTTGTCCAGACCTGCGCGCTCAAACGGGAAAGGAGCGGCCCCCTCCCCCGTTCTCAGGATCGCTCACCCAGCCCGCAGCTCCTGCCTGCAGAGCGCGTAGCCCGCGCCTGGAAGGGCACCCGCCAGCCAGGGGCCGGCCAAGCGCCGGCCGGTGCCAAGGACCCAGCGCTAGCCACGCGCTCCGGGGCTCGGGGAGAATTGGGAGCGGCTCCGACGCCCTCGTCCCACCCAGCAGCGCCGGTTCAGCACCGGGACAGCGGACAGCACACGGGCGGAGCGCCGGCGGGAGGCAGGGTCCGGAGAGCAGGGCCCGCGCTGGGAGACACAGTGGAAGGTAGTCCTGGGAGGGGGGGAGGGAGGAAGCTGGGGGCAGACACGGGGGCAACCTGGGGACAGACACGGGGGAATGCAGCCGGGGGTTCGCGCCCGGCTCCCGCCTCCGCGCAACGCGGACCCCGCGCTGGCTCACCTGGTGCCGCGATGGTCCTGCGCGCAGAGCAGGACGAGCGGGGGCAGCAGCCAGGCCAGCGCGTCCATGGCCTTGGGCCCGTTGGCGCTGCACCGACGCGGCGCCGGGGTCCGGCAGGTCGCGGGCGCTCACGAAGTTGCTTCTCCGGCGGCCGCGGCGGCGGCGGCACCAGCGGGCGGGAGCCGGAGGACGCGCGACGCGGGCGCGAGGGCGGGGGAGCGCGGCGCCGCGAGCCGCCCCACCTGCCGCCCCGCCCACCCCACTCCGAGGCCCGCCGAATCTCCCGCCCCCGAGCCGGGAGCACCGCCCCCCCTCAGCTCGAGCCTCGCCGCCCAGCCGAGCCCCATCACCCGCAGGCCGGGGGGCTGGAACTCTCCATCCCACCGCCGCTGCTCTTGCCGGCCGCTGACGGGTCTTTCTGCGCGTCTGCACGGGAGGCGACCCACGGGGGCGCAGCAGCCCGCTGCCCCGCCAGGCGCCTGCGGACCGATGCGCGCGCGTCCACAACCTAGTCCTCGAGTTTGCCCGGGGCTGTTTGTGGGGCTCACAGGCGCCAGGGAGCCGGTTCAGGCAGCGCGGGAGGGACCCGGGAGGGTACCAGCGTCCCTGCAGCCTTTGCTTTGTATTGGGAGAGACGCCCACAAGCAGCTCCTTCCAAAACCCTCACACAAACCAGAGCACTGCGCTTCACTAGCAGCTCTGGCAAAGGGTGAGAGAAAAGGGGGTGGGCGCTGTCGCTGCTCGCTGGCGGGGTTCTGTGCTCACAACCTTGCTCTGGCCACGGAGCAGTGACATCTTCCTGGCCCAGCCGGGCTCCGTCACACCTGTCCACAGCCCCTTAAAAGGGCACCGCAGATGGCTGGGCTCTGCCCACGATGCATCCGCCCTCCACGGAGCTGAGAAAGCCAAGGCCCTGCCCATTTTCTATTTTAATTCTTTCGAACATAAAATTCTGCAGCAGTTTGCCTCCAAAAAGCTGGTCACAAATGTTAAGCATTGTTTGGTCTCGTTCCTTCACTCTGGACTCGATATCAGCTGACAACAGAAAGTTAACTTCTCATGAAAACACTTGAAAACTGACAAATTTGTCCCGGGGTGGGTTATGTCCCCTGGGATGACCGGGGACGCTGGCCAGAGCAGGGCCAGGTGGAGGGGGTGTAGACAGGGCTTTGCTGCTGGAAATTTGCAGAGATCCTGAGTGCCCAGGACTAAAGGGAGGGCTGGTGCCAGCTTTCTTCCTCAAAGCCAGGAACAGGCTCTAAGACAGCCACTCAGGCCTCAGCGTAAGTGCCTCCATTGGAGGGTCCTCCTGGGTCCCTGCTGAAGTGGGTCCTCTTGGTTCGGAAGCACTGACCTCGAGGTGTCCACGCGCTGCACGCTGGTGTACCTGGACAAGCCTGGGACCCCGTGGCCTCACTGCCATTTGTCTGTGTGCATGGGCTTGCTGAGAGATTTTAGTTAATTCATGAAAAGGTGTCCACAGGATTATTTTTATTATCGCCACCCCACCCCCGCCTGCTTCTTCAGAGCACCCTTCGTGTCTACGCCTCTGGCATATACTAGGTACTTAACACATGTAAGAAGACACACGGCTCAGTCTCCAGAAGCCCGCAGAGCACATGTGGTCAGCGTGGCCCTCGCCGAGCTCCACCTCTGGCCTTTCCCTCCCGAGCTTTGGGACCAAGCAGTGAGGCCAGGTGTCTGTGCTGGTCCAGGTGTCTGTCCCGGCTTCACAGCTGAAGTCACTGTCACACTGCTTCAGGTACTGAGATGACCTAGCTGCTAATAGCCTCTGAGGAGAAGTGTTGACCTTGAACCACTTGATGCAATGAGTTCAGGGTGAACCAGACTATCGTTATTGTCTTCAGTCCCATCTGTGACCTGAGACAGGCGGTTGATCTTGACCTTTTGCTGGAGATGGGAGCTGTACGGGCCTCTTAGCCACAGCTCTGTTGTTTGGTGGCATCAGATCGACTCCTCTTCCTTGAGCCTAGAGGCACATTTCTAAACAGTGGAGAACAAGGTGACGTCACCCGAGACTCCCAATGCCGCCCACGGCCACAGGTTTCTCCAGCAGTAGCCCTCCCTCTCGGGGACGCCTGGGGATAGTCACTAACCTTAAGTCAAAGGCGTATTTCTTCCCCAGAGTCTGCAAGTTTCATTCGAGTTCTATATTGTCCCTAACTGGTTTCGGTTTGGATATGAAGAACGGGAACTTTCATTATTCCTTCCTCAGGTTTTTTCAGAATTAGTTTGTGGCCCTTCTCACTGATGTGTAAACAGCTGGTCTCCAGGCCTCATATTCAGCTCCATCCGGATTCGCTGCAGCTACAAGGAAAGCCGATTGGAGCAGCCCCACTGCAGGTCAGGAGACAGGAACCTGGTCCTGGGTGCTGGGCCCCAGCTGAGGTGAGCCCCGCAATCAATGGGGTGCCACACCTGTGAGGAGGGGGGCTCGCCTTTCTCCTCCCTCTGAGCATTCTGGAAATGCTTGGGGAGCAGAGGTCTGGTACTCCCCAGCTCTGCTCCTCACCGGCTGTGTGGCCTGGGAAGACATTTCTCCTGGCTTTGGTTGATTCATTTGCAAGAGGAGGTTGTGAGAGCAGTGACTGGTCTTCTGGTATGAGAGCCCAGGAGGTTGACCTCTATTCAAGTCTCAGTTTTCCTACAACGGCGGCAACGGGCCGTTTTCACTGAAAACAAGTGTGACTTGTAGGGTCTCAGGCGACCTCCCTTCTCTGGAAACCACTGGATGTCATCCCCATGTTTATTCCATTCCTGTCATTTTTTGGGGGAGCACCTCACCCTTCAAGTGTGACTTGGGTGAAAAATTTCAAAGTCAATACAAGAAGGCACTCTGTTTCAGGTGAGGTCAGTGCTCACCACCCACATACCTGGACGACCCCATCCCCTTGTCCTGGCACCCAGAGAGCTCAGGACGGGGGCCTGGCACCCACCAAGGGACAGTGGCAAAAATGAGACTCCAAACCTAAGGCATTTGACCCCTGACCATCTGGTAACTAGTCCGTGGTCTTCCTTTGTGCTTATCTGACAAGTAACGCGGTGGCTTCTCCCTCCTACAGCACACAAGCCCTGTGGCTCCGGGCTCAGGGCAGCAGCTGCGGCTTTCTTCTACTTAGTGCAGGCAGGCGTTGTGCCCTCCCATATGGCACCGAGTGGACAGTCGTGCCTTTGGCCCTGAGAGGTATGGACACTGCCTCGTTAGCTCCTGGAGTTACTGACAATACATCCGTGAACAGGAATGCCCTAAGTGACATCTGGAAAGTCACAAAAGTATGGTCTGCTGACCCACTCGGTTCTTGAGAGAATCAGCAACCTGCAGCCTTTCCCGTATCGTTCCTCTGGGCAATTGCCTTGCCGGGTGCTTGCAGTGCGTGAGAAGGGATGGCACCAAGTCCAAGGCCGGCGAGAGCTGGCCTCTGTCCATCGCAGCAGCAGGATGAGCTCCGGGAGGCACAGGTGAGTCATAGGGACCTGGGAGGGAAACGGCTCCAGCTAAATTTAAAATCCTGGCCTGGCAGATTTATCAGGTTGCTTTATTATTCTCCTTGGAAAAAGCTCCAAATAGAGAAAATGGCAGTGACACAGAGAAGAGCTTTCTTGCGCTCAGAGTGTAATTATTAATCCTATGATTTTCAGATGGAATCCATTCATTTGGAGAAGCAGAGGAAGTTGGCAGAAAAGATCAAATACAAAGTGCTCGCGGCAGCCTGAGTCCCACAGGCTGGCTCCATAAACAAAGGATGCACTCCACCGGAGCCGGCTGAGTGGTGCTGTTTTTAGCAATCGAGGCCCAATGAGCTGGGCCACTTATAGGATTTTTCCTACATGACTTCAGTAGACGGCGTCCAAGCACAACTGCTCACGCGTAGTGTGGAGAAGTCAGAGTTCTAAGTCTCATATTTTGTGTTTTTCTAAGTGGCAGTTTGAATTCTTTCATGAGATAGAAAATGTGAAACACAAATGAACGATTCCTGACAAAAGTGCTGTCGATCAACGAGAAAGACATTTTCCTTTAGATGCCAGCACGGCTGAGTGACAACATAGAAACTCCTAAAGAAGGCTCTTGCTGGGGAGCGAGGCTCCTGCCACTGGTCCCCTCCGTGGGGAAGGCCCCCGGGTGGGTACCCTCGGCCCCTCTGGTCCTGCATGCTGGTTCTCTGTGTAGAATGTTGGAGAAATAAAGCATGAGGCTTGCTGCCATCCTTTTCAGGCTGGGTCTTTGAATACATTCATTAAACTTCCTTAAGAAAGGCCTCCACACAGATCAGTAGTCATTTAACAAATATGTATGGAATTGTTTGCCCTACTTTGTGCCAAGGACTGGTCTAGCCGTTGGGTGTGAATAAGATATAAAAAAGGTCCCCGCCCTCCTTCTAGAAGGGAGAACAGGGACAATTGTGAGTCAACAAACAGACATCGTGTGACATGCTAGAAAGGAATTTAAGCAAAGTAAAAATTGTAAAGAGTAACAGTGTTTTTTTTGGGGGGGTCACTTAGAGCGGTCAGGAAGACCTTTCTGTGAGGTAGCCTGTGAGCTAACACTTGAATTATAGCCTATTCCTCTGAGAAAACGCCAGCCACGTGTTCCAGGCAGAGAACAGAAATTGCAAAGGCCCTGGGGCAGAAATAAACTGGCAAGTTCAAACAGAAGCAAGGCCAGGCCCCATGGGCTATGGTGGAGGGAGGCAGAAAGGGAGGGAGGGAGAGAGGGACCAGATCATGCACCTCCCAGTGGGTTGTGGCCTAGACGCTAGGTTTTATTTTATTTTACTTTTAGTCAGCTGTATTGAAATATAATTCACGTGCAATAAAAGTCACCAGTTGCAAGCACAGTTTGCAGGGTTCTGAGATGTGTCTAGGGCTGTACGATCACCACCATAATCGTGACATCACCCATGTTGACAACCTCCTGCCTTCTGCGGTCCTCTGCTCTCCTGACCCTGGTCCTGAGGACACACTGGTGTCACCTCCTGTCACTCTAGTTCTCCTTTTTGGAAGTCTCCTATCAGTGGAATCACACTGTGACATTGCCCGGGGCTGCCTTCCCAAATGGCTCCCAGTGACCTCTGCCTCTGGCGTTGGGCAGCCCCCTCCTGGGACTGGGGTCCAGACCCAGTGACTTATTCCAACAAGATGTCCAAAGCAATGGGCTGTCACTCCCGAGGTCAGCTCGTAAAAGCCTGTGACTTGGACCCGGCTGGACGCTCATTTGCCCACTTTGATGAACCAGCTCCCATGTCATGAGCTGATGTGACAAGAGGCTCGCCAGGTGAGGAGCTGAGGGGACGAGGCCGCGGTCCAACAGCCGGCCGGGAGCTGACTGCTGCCACAGCCAGAGTGAGCTGGGCAGTGGGTCCTCCCCACTGCACCTCGTGATGGCACCACCCTGGCCAACATCGTGACGGCAGCTATGCGAAAGGCAGAGCTGGGGACCCTGGCCCAGCAGAACTGTGAGACAACTGTGTGACAGTTGGGTACGCGGCAGTGGGGGACTGATACAGTAGTCCGCGGTGTCTGACTTCTTTCATGGGCGTAATATGTCTGAGATGTACCCATGCTGCTGCGTGCGCCGGTGGCTTATTTTTTATCACTGGGTCGTATTCCTTTGTACAGCTACACCTCAGCTTGCTCAACTACCACCTGCTGACGGACATCTGGGTTGGACTCAGTTTGGGGCTATTAGGAGTGAATCTGCACCAAGTCTTTACTTGGACACACATTCTCCTTTCCTTTGAATAAATACTGGAGGTGGGGTCACAGGACTGTAAGGGGAATTTCCGTTTACCTTCATAAGAGGTGGCCCATCCGCTGGCCAGCATGGCTGCACCATTCTGCAGTCCCACCAGCCTCGCGCTGGGCTCTGAATTGTACCCCCGCCTTGGCGACACTTGAGTGTAAGCATCTAATGTGGGCCATTCGTGTAGCTGCATAGGGGCACCTTGTCATGGATTGGATGTACATTTCCTTAATGGCTAAGGTCCCTGGTCACTTTCTATGTGCTTTTTATTTGTTCAAAACTTGCATCACTTGTTAAAAATGACACTGTTCATCTTCCTAGCATTGAGTTGTGAGAGTTCTTTATATATTGTAGATGTAAGTCCTTTGTTGGATGTATGTTTGCAAAGGTTTTCTCCCAGCCTAAGCATTGCTTATTCATTTTCTCAACAGTAGCTGTTGTAGAGCCAAAGGTTTTCATCTTGGTGAAATCCTTCTAGGGTCTGCGCTCCAGCTGGATTCTCCTCCCCCACAAGTGGCCCGGAAGCTTTGTCCAGACGGTCAGCTAGGGCAGTCCGAGGGCTCCTCTGGTCCCACCTTTCAGGGCTCATTGTCCTTAGTTCCTTCATGTCCGGTAACCTGGGCTCATGTGTTTGACTCGGTGACCTTCCAACTTGTGCCCCACTACGAGTCAGGCAGCCAGGAGCCGGGCTGGGGGCAGATCCTGGAGGGGAGCCTATTTGGAGACCTCGACAGTGTCTTCTCATGGGAGGGGGTGCTAGCTCTTCCTGGGAGGGGCGGGCCACCTCGGCAGGCTCTAAACCTTCAGAAGAGTGTGGGGAGTCAAAACATTCAGGGGTGTCCACCCAGAGACCCCCATCTCAATTGTCAAGGTTTTCCCAAACAGGACTCTGACCTTGGCATAGCCTGACTACTCAGCTGAGATTCCATCATCTCTGAAGCTCAACACGCCCAGCTGGTCAGCCTTCGTCGAGGTGCCAGTTTCTCCTTTTCTCTCACAGAAGGAGGTAAGGGCCTCTTTACAAGCCACCTGGAAGCTCTGGCCCTCACGTCCAGCCTCACTTGTTTGTCAACTGCCGCCTGTGTCCCATGCTCCCTTGTGGGTGTCAGTGCAGCTTAACTGTCAGATTGTCTCGCTGAGCTCATGCGTCTCCTTTGCCTCCCCAAACACGAGTCCTTCTCCATTGTGATGTCAGCCTCCATTCTCCCATTTATTATTGGCGAAAGTTTCACCAACTGCTGCCACCTGCTCCAGGCTTCTACTCATAGCAGGTCCTCAGGTAACATCACTGCAGTCAACGTTGCTGTGTTATAACGATGAGGTGCCACAGGGACTTAACTCCTGTTTATATCAATTAGCCTACAGTAACACTGGCTTTTCCTTATATGTCGTTTTGCTTGAAGTCACAGATCCCACTGACGATGCTAAGTGAGGACTTACTGTACCACCCAGGATTGTCTCTTTGTTGCCAGCTGGGCACAGAGTGACCCAGTTACAAATCCCACCTGACCATCTGCTTTATCAGACCATTCTCAGTGCCAGCTGGGTCAGGCTGAGTCTGCCAGTCAGCAGACCACACGGCGGGATCAGGAAAGCAAAAGATTTAACGGGGGCTCATGCCTGCCAAAGATCAAGGGGGAGGAATTGGGCTGAAGAAGTTCGCTGACACTGATCTGACAGCTGCGATGGCAAGTGGGACGAAGCAGGGCTGGGCAGGGAGAGCCCAACTCTCGTGCAGACCTGACCACGTTTTGGCCAACCCAGTGGAGGGCACAGAGGGACTCTGGGGCAGAGGTGGCCCATCAGGAGTCTGCATTGGTGGCTATGGACAGGCCCTAGTGGCCCTGCCATGCTCGGTCATTGGCCACAGGCTGCCCAGACAGAGAGAGGGCTCCATCAAATACTTGTGCTCCTCACAGTGCAACCCAAATCTTTTCAGGAAGGAGATGGGGGAGCTGTCTGCATGGCTGCTACCCCAGTTTCCCCAATAGTAACTTAGTATCCTAGCACCTTTCAAAAGTGACCAGTGAGGAACCCATTTTAAGAATGAACTCATGGATGTTAGCACACTTGATGTGCTTCAATCCACGGTAGTTTCTTTTTGTTTAGATGCTCAGGTCGTCCTTACTTTGGTCATCAGGAACCCAGATGTGCTCTGATGTCATGCTCAATCTTTGATAATTTCCTTGCTTTCTATGGAAAAGCTGCTCCAGGATCACCTTGTATGCTTTCTGGCTCAGACCTGAAATTATTTTCCCAAGAAGCTGTGCTTTTTTATCGTGGGAAATGATGAGGCTGGACAACAGTCTGGGTGTGACAAGAGCTCATTGCTACTGGTTGGTGGTGATTTTTAGAGAATGATGGGCATTTTTATATTAGGGCTGTCCAATATGGCAGCCGCCAGCCACACAGGCTACTGAACTTAAAATGTGGCTAATGCCACATTTTAAATTGTAGCTCATGAAGAATTTCTTTTTTTAAAAAAGATTTTATTGGGGAATTGGGGGAGGGGAACAGCGCTGGAGAATCAGGGGAAGAAGAACAGACAAGTTGTTGTCCTTTTGTTCTTCAGTCTGGTTGTGGAGGACGTCGCTTCACTGGCCCATGTTGGTGTTATTATTGTGCTCCTCCTGTTTGAGGCAGATCAGTCGCTGGCCTCTGGACGGCTGCTCATGGCAGCTTTTGGCAGCTCACACTGGCTGCCAGCCACTCACGCTGGCTGCCGGCCACACACGGTAGCTAATGGTAGCCCACTGCAGCAGAGGCTGCAGCCTACGCTGTCGCTGGCAACTCATGGCAGCCCAGCTCCAGGTCAAGCTGTTGTTCATCATCTTAGGTGTAGAGGGCGCAGCGTCACTGGCCCTCATGTGGGATCCGAACCAGGGCCCTGCTGGTGAGAGCTGGTGTCCCAAGCCAGCTCTTAACCAACATGCCACTCAGCCGGCCCGCTCATGTAGAATTTTGATTGTGGTAATACATACATAGAATTTATCATTTTAATCACGTTTAAGTGCACAGTTCAGCAGCATTACACACACTCACAGTGCCATCACCACTCCCATCTCCAGAACTTTCCGTCTTTCCAAACAGGAACTCTGACCCCATTAAACACTAACTCCCCATTTCACCTCCCCACCCCCAGTTTCTGACAGCCAGCATTCTACTTTCTGTCTCTATAAATTTGACTACTCCATCTACCTCTAATAAGTGAAATCAGGCAATCTTGTTCTTTTATGACTGGTTTATTTCACTCAGCATAGTCGTCAAAGTTTATGTTGTAGCACATGTCAGGATTTCATTTCTTTTTCAGGCTGAGTAATACTCCCTTGTGTGTGTATATCACAGATTGATGGACATTTGGGTTGTTTCTGCCTTATCGCTATTGTGCATCATGCTGCTGTGAACACTGATGTACAAATATTTGTTCAGATAATTTCAAATAACTTAAATTTAAATACCACCC